AGATATCAGTATAATCGTGCTCATGATAAATATAATTTAATAAAAAAAAGAACATTATCAATAGTAGTTCAGTCAAAATGTGTATTCTAGAAGAATGTCGTGATTAAGATCTATTGAGAACGATCCGTTACAGTATAAATTATTTTGTGTACATTGTAGAATCAAAGGACACATCCTGTCTCATATTAAGAATAGATTGTATACATGTTTTGTTTTGCTTATATTGACAGACTATGCAATTTAAACATTGGTAAGGATGTGTTGAAGACACAAATTATCGTTCCTGGCTTAACTGTAAAAATTAAAAGCCATTATTGAGAGTATCCATGTGGCATCTAGCAATTTAAAATCATTCAGTTAAAAAACAATTTTGTCGACGACACAGCTATTATTTAATGACAAATGATTGTATTCTTTTTTAAATGCTTTTAAAAATGTAAATGCCAAGTGCGAGAGAAATCAACAAAAAAAAAACTTTCATGACTGATTGTTGTAATTGTCATTTCTTCTTTTTTTCGTTTTTGTATGTACACAGTCAGTGAAAGTGAAGCATGTGTAAATAAGTGAATTGCAAACAGAAATAAAATCTGTATTTTTTGGTTTATCTTGCTGTATCTCTTCAAAAGTTTTTTTGACAGTTTTTTCTGTCTTTACATACAATTATTGATTAGATATGATTCAAATTACTTTTTTAAGAAAAGATCATTCTATTGAAGTATTCAAATAAATATTATTACCAAAATTTTGTATCATGAAAAATAGTTTTTTTCTTGTGAGTCATCAATTCCGTTCAATACATTTGAAAAAAGAACTAAATGTTGGGATATTTCTTTGATTCATTGAGACAAGTTCAAGGAGAATAATATCCATAGAAATATTTAATATGCTACTCAATGCAGCATTCATCTTTTAGATGATATTGTCAGTTACTCAAGATGTTTATAAAATTAGAAAAAAAGGAAAATTTCTCCTTTTTCAAGATATAGCAATAAAAATTTTAGAGTTTTGTAGAATTACTTCTCTATAAATCGTGGATACACCTTTAATGAAAGGATGTTATATGCTGCATAATGGTCTTTTTAATGTTTTAGAAACATTTATAACTTTCTTTTCTTTTTTAAGAAAATAAAAAACTGAAAGTAACTAGTAGAATCACTAACAATAATACATTGTAAAAGTAAATACGGAGTGAGCGTGGATATGAGATGAATATAACACAAACACCCACACCCATCAATTGCTTAATTATTATTAGTATGTAACTATATAATATAATCCAATGGGTTCGCAATTCAAATTCAAATGTGATATTTCTAAAATGATAGTTAACGTGTCTAAACCTTGTAAATCTTGAAGATGACTATTTAAGGAGTCGATTTCTTGAAATAAATTTCTTCGTATAAAATATTGTATTATTTTATTAAAATGGAAAAAGCCGCTGTCATAAAAATAGCATTCAGAAAACTAATTTTCATGTTCTCAATTTCTTTCATTATGAGTTAAAAAAAACATTTATACAGGATGGTTAGCAAAGTGTGGATACATAAGTTTCTTTAATTTCCTGATAAATGACATGAATATCTAACAACATCTTTAATAAATTAGGAAGTGATGTTTGGCTAAATCGTATTTATCTATTAGAAACATCTTTATTGCATTCAATGAGAAGTAAATTTTGTTATTTCTAATCTAGATAACATATAATCTTAATAAAAAATATCAATTAGCACTCTTTAAAGCACAGTAAATTTTACTATAGGGATTATATATAGGTGCAGCCTTTAGTTGCAAAAAAATTCCACATCTGAAGTTTACTGGAAAATTTGTCGCCGTCATCATTTTTATAATAACTAAAAGGCAAAATAATGAATAATATCAACAATGAAATTGCTATTTTATATAAATATTCTTGATTGATTAGTAAACATTAAACATACATTTGAATAATATTCAATTAAAATCATTTGATCGTATCTTTTCATATGTGTACATTGATTTTATGTTGAATAAATGAACAATGATTTGTTTAACAGATTATTTATTTCTTTGCATGAAATCATCATATTGATTGACTTTTTTCTTCATTGTATATCACATAAAATTACACTTCTAAATTATATGAACAATAAGATATATAAATCCACAATGATTATGTCTCATTTTTTCATTGTCCTTTTCATTGATGACACTATACATATACATACTCATTTCATTCAATTGAGTTGAGTTGAGAAGTGTTCTCTATTCACATTAACATACTGATCTGTTCTACGGCATGTTAATATTTATAAAAATCATTTATTTATTCAATACATATCAATTATTCTTTTTATTGAAACAGGAAGAAAAATACACAGTACTGAATAATTGCACTTCTTTTTCTCTCTCTCTTGTTACTATAAACAGCCTGTTGGGTGACCGTTCTTTTTCTTACTCCACACAGAGAAACTCTACCTTGTTTAAATACAATAACTATATATCATGAAGGTCTTTTTTACAATACATGTCTGTTCATATGTATTGTTTACCTTACCGATGGATGTTACCATATATTTTTGTTTCAAAAAACTCAGTTTCTTTGTACGCGCGCGCATTTAAGACAATTCTATTCTTGTTTAAAAAATTTCGTTTTTTTCTCAAAAAACAAAGTTCACAGCAGTACAAATAATTATTTGTTTTTTACACGTTCGAGGTTATTTCTCAACATTTGAAGCTTCGGGTGATTTGAAGATAATGATTGTTGTGCAATTTGTATAGCACGCTCATAAAATGTACGGGCTTTTGAGTAAATACCCATATTTTCATGCACTAAACCAATGTTGTTGTAGGATTGAGCCAAATCAGGATGATTGGAAGGCAGTGATTGTGGTAGAATTTCAAGGGCTCTTTGAAAACAATAAAGTGCTTTCGGATAATAACCCATGTCGTTATGCACTAAACCAATGTTGCTGTAGGAAGAAGCCAAATCTGGATGATTTGAAGGAAGTGATTGTTGTCTGATTTCAAAGGCTTTTCCATAATAAGAAAATGCTTTTGGATAATCACCCATGTCTTGATGCACTGCACCAATGTTGTTGTAGTAATGAGCCAAACCAGGATGATTTGGAGGAAGTGATTGTTGTCGAATTGCAAGGGCTTTTTCATGAGATGAAAGTGCTTTCTGATAATTACCCATGTCTTGATGCACTGCACCAATATTATTGTAGGAATCAGCCAAATCAGGATGATTTGAAGGAAGTGATTGTTGTTGAATTTCAAGGGCTTTTCCATAATAAGAAAATGCTTTTGAATAATCACCCATGTCTTGATGCACTGCACCGATATTATTGTAGGAAGAAGCCAAATAAGGATGATTGGAAGGAAGTGATTGTTGTTGAATTTCAAGGGCTTTTTCATGAGATGAAAGTGCTTT